CCCCTTTCCTCATAAACTACCAGAACCCCCCTCACCCATCCCTAACCACCCTACCGGTAAAGTGCACCACTAGAAGCAACCCCCCACCCCACCTTCCCCACCACACACACAGCTTACTAGCGCACACAAGGGTGGCTCCATAGGACCCCGCAAGGAAAAGGAGTCACCCTAAAACAGGGTATTAGGGTCAGTGTTTAGGGGATCAGCTGACTCTGCAGGAAATTGAAACTTCTCAACATCATGGAGCAGCATCCATAGCAAGTGATAACAAATAGCTTAGACCCTTTTGCCTTTAAAGGAGAACTTTTCACTCACCTCATAGTTCTAGCCCACCTGTGACTATGAGACTGTCACAGGTCGGCTCAGTAGATCGGAAAGTAAGCGAACACATACCGGCGTTCGCTCACTTCTTGATCTTGTCACGGCAAAGAGACGTGACAGGGGTGGGACTGGATTCCACCCGCTCCGATCCTCCAGCGCTGACTGGCGGAACGGACGGGGGAGGGGCGGGTACAGCTGGCTCTGCCTCTAGATAGACAGATCCAGACATAATTGTCGGGATGCGTTTCAGCTGTGGCGTCCCAGTATACCACGAGCTGCAGCTCGCTGTATACTGAGCTTAGGATGACGGGAGGACACTAGTTTGTGTCCTCCCGTTACCCTTAGGAGAACTATGGGGAAAAGCCCTGACCCCATAGTTCTCCTTTAATGTCACTTTAAGTTATGCTATGTGAATGAGAAACATGTAACAAACCTAGAATCGGTGTTATCCCAATTAGGCTGCAGAAGTGGAAACACACTAGTGAGAGTCCATACACCAGGGAAGTAATGAAATACAACCAATATTGAAATGCAGCTATTTTCCTTGACGCATGTGGATAGTAATGGTTGTTGTAAATAATTGGGATATATCTGTAGCCATCAGATGTAACAGTGTTATTGGACCCAACTAAGAGATAAAAGACGTCCAGACATGTCTTGGACTGGATGAGTTCTATACTATTTATCTTTTCAGGCAGGTCCTCTGGTTGGGGTTGTAGTCAGGTTGTGCTGCACTCACAGCATTTCATATGAACAGCCCTGTTTCATGTTTTTCACAGTTTGTATCATTTTGTGACATTACAATGGGCATAGTAAATCTATCTGTATAATATTTGCTCGAATGCTGATACATTTTTAGTAACCCTTTTTTCTCTCTGTGATTGCAGATGCCACAATGTATGCGCACTTTCTATTTAACGCCTTTGACCTGGACAGAAGTGGAGCAATCAAGTTTGAGGTAAATAAATGGAAAGGAAGGGCAGGCCTTGGGAAGGGCACAGCCTTAAAGGGTCTACTTGATTTAAAAGAAAAAATTGTTTATGTTATGTGATCAGGTTATGTTGAAAGAAGAAAGTATAAATCAGAACGTTACAGAATTTCACAATGCAAACTGATAGACTGTCTGTGGTGACTGGCCTACATTCATGATGTAGATGAGCTATTGCGTACATGACATGGCCTGTTCTGGTTGCCATGTGTTGTGTGTCTCAGGTGCCCCTTCTATTGGTCTATGTTGGTCTCTACTCTGCTGTTGTGTGTCTCAGGTGCCCCTTCTATTGGTCCCTGTTGGCCTCTACTCTGCTGTTGTGTATCTGACGTACCCCTTCTATTTTTCTTCTATTGGTCTCGGTTGTGTGGTTTGAGGTGCCCCTTCTTTTGGTCTCTAGTTGTCTTCTATTAGTCTCTACCTTGCTGTTGTGTGTCTTAAGTGCCCCTTCTGTCGTTTTCTATTGATCTCTACCCTGCTGTTGTGTGCCTCAGGTGCCCCTCCTGTAGGTCTCTATTTGTCTTCTACTGGACTCTGTTGGTCTTCTATTGGTTTCTATTGGTCTCTACCCTTCTATTGTGTGTCTTAAGTGCCCCTTCTATTGGTCTCCGCCCTGCTATTGTGTGTGTCTCGGGTTCTATTGGTCTTCTATTGGTTTCTACCCTGCTGCTGTATGTCTCTGGTGCCCCATCTATTGGCCTCTACACTGTTGTTGTGTGTCCTGGGTACCACTTCTTTTGCTCTCTATTTGTCTTCTATTGGCCTCTACCCTGCAGTTGTGCGTCTTGGGTGCCCCTTTATTGGTCTTCTGTTGATCTCTACGGGTCTCTACCCTGCTGTTTGTTTTAGTGCCTGGTTTCAGTATGTTCCGACAGCTGTTTGAGCTCTCCTCACTTGAATGGAGGTTGCATGGTCTTGTTGTCTGTGCTCTGTTACTACACAGCTCAGCAGTTTAGCTCTTGGAAGGTTTATTCCCTGTGCTGTGGTAAATGCTAATAGCACAGCTTGGAGTAAATTCACATATTGATCTGCAGGACCTGCCTGGGGCCTTTGTTAGATAAATGGTTAATGATTCATCCAATTCACAGGAATCGCCCAAAATTCTGACAGTGGATGGCCCAGCTGCCTCAAAGGAGTCTTTAGACTTTAGACATTTTCTTCAGCCTGCAGGGGATGTCAGCCTCATCCCCTGCCTAGGTCTGTCATTGCCCTTGGTAGAGAAGCTCCGTCCCACCCCACATATAGCAGAGTACAAAGCTTTAACTGATTTATGGGTCTACAGAGTGGTTACAGAAAGGGAACTGGTGGCAGGTCTATTCACGAAGCAGCCGAAGGATCTAGCCGTAGCTTCGGCTGATCCTTCGGCTAGCTTCGGCCCCAGGAGCGGCTCACTTCGCTTCAGGTCAGTCATTCACTCGGCTGCTTACGGCAGCTTAGTGAATAGACCCCCTAGTTATGTAGCAAAAGCATTTGCCAATATACAGTATGTGGTTATCATACAGATACTTGTACGTTTACTGACCCATGTGATATCTGAAAATGTATTTCAGTCAGCAAACGTGAACACTTATAACAATTCTCATAACTATGTAGTGCCATATATTGAACACGCACAGTATCCTAGAACTGGTTAGGGCATCTAGATAGGATTTCATTAACGTGGCGATAATTTTAGGATTGCTAAGCCTAGTGCAAGTAAATCAATGAGCCGGCACATGTCAATGATCAATAGTAGTAGTAGTCACGTTTGTCAGTGTCCACTCTATTTCAATGTTTGTAGCTATGTCATGTTTAATTGTAATCACTCATAAGAAAGGTATCTTTGGATCAAATTTGCTTCATCCATAACAAAGCTTGAATCAAATGATGGATTTGGTGCTGTTTCCATTAACATAGGAAAGGTTTGTGCATACCTCGCAACTTTCTTTTTCTGTTATTTTAGCTCCCTAGACAAAACGAGCACTTAACCCTTGAAGTGCTGAGGTAGCCCCACTGCAAGGGGTAAGATTTGATTTTCCTGGAGTTCTTCATTAAGAATATGCCCAAAATGATTGGTCAAACCCAGAATTGTAATTTTTCACTATCAATTTTCCTTTATACTGGCTTTTCAAAATAGCAAACAAGATAATGAAGAGATAGAAGGAATGAATTAGTGCAGAATAACACTTTTGGTAGTTAAATAGAATATTTCATAGATATCTGTACATCAGAACACAAAGAGGGACAACTGAGGAGGAAAGAGGGACAGAGGGATTGGGTTCCAAATGAGGGACAGTTAGGAGGTATGCTTGTGCAGCGTGAGTGGCACTACAAGCATTGGCACGATAACCAAATTCCTAGGAAGCTTTTCAAGGTGCTAATTAATCAGGATCATCACTGGGCACTAACCTAGATGTTAAAGTACAACTGAAGCCAAAATATTTTTTTTAGCTTTGGATAGAGTAGGGGAAAGATATAACAGTGACGTGCGGTACCTCTGGTTCCGGGTGAGGCATTCCCCAGCCTCGCCCCTAGCATGTCCTGCCTCGCCCCCCAACGGCCGAAGCCCCGCCAGACGACGCCTCGCCCCTGCCAGGCGAAGCCCCGCCCCAACCCGGTGCCCAAGCTAGTGTGAAGGAGGAAGGGAGGAGATAGGGAGGAGCCTCCCTGTCCCTCACTTGCTTGTCACTGCTGAGGCATCAAGATCAATGACCTCAGTGGGGTTTTTTTTTTCTTTTTTTGATTGGACAGCTTGGACCAATAGTGCTTTGCCATTGGTCCAAACCATCCACAGAGCTCACACCTCTAACAAAGAGTAGAACTTTTCTCAATAGAAACATTACACAAGCAGTGGGGAAGCCCGCTGCTGTGTAACCTAACTACCTGTCAAAACAGGTAATTAACAGGCAGCGCTCCGTCCATGACAGGTTACACAGCGGGGAGGATTTCCCTGCTGTGTAACCTGTTACAAGCCGATCTGAATGGAGAAAAAAGTGTCAGCTTCAGACTTGAAGCTGACAGCTTTTTCCTCCAAAATACTAGGTGAGGCTCAGCCTCACCTGCCTCTCCCGACTGCACGTCCCTGGGTTATAACCCCTGTTTGTTTTTTTGCCATTGGGGGGATTTCTCTTTACTTCCTATCCGTTAACCACAACAGAAAGTAAGAAGAAATCCCTTCAAAGAGCAGGAAATCCCTGGTGGTCAGCAAGGTCACCGGATCTAGTGTACCCATTGGAAGATTTCCCATCTATTCCTGTTCTAATGACAACCCAAATTTGAGATTTTCTTTTACTCTCAGTTATAACGGTCACCAGGACAAATAGAGAGGGTGAATCTCCCTAATGGGGACACAAACAGCAATAAAAACCTGACCGGTGTTCTAATCCCTCTCCACTAATCCCTCTCCACTCCATCCAAAACTAAAAAAGTTCTGGCTTCAGTTGCAATTTAAAGGAGAACTATGGGGTCAGTGCTTTTCCCCATAGTTCTCCTCAGGGTCACGGGAGGACATAAACTAGCGTTCTCCCGTGACCCAAAGTTCAGTATACCGCGAGCTACATGATTGACAGCTGGATCTGCCTATCTAGAGGCAGAGCCAGCTGAACCCCCCGTTCGTTCCTCCAGTCATCGCTGGAGGATCGGAGTTAGGAGGGGGGGAATCCCTGCAGGGAGCCGTGAGTGACAGTCACGGCTCTCTGCAGGGACAGGATCGAGAAGTGAGTGGGCGACGGTATGTGTTCGCTCACTTCCGGACGTGTGACAGTTTCATTGTCACAGGTCGGCTCACCTCATAGATCTCCTTTAACTGCTTAATGACTACAGAATTTTAAGAGCAAAGCAGCAACAGTCTGTGAGTAGATCCAAATCAGATAAAAGGTTTATTTGACACACGCGTGTGGGGAAAGGCCACAGCTTATAATGGTTCACACATCAAGATAAAGATTAGGTTACAACATTGTTCAGTTAAACATAATTCAAAATACATCCTGAATCAGCATTATTTGTTCCTCGCGTATACATAGCAAGTGTCTGAGTTTAGATAAACTAAAAAACTCCTAGAATGGCAATTTCTCCAATGACTTTAAGATAACAGCTCGCCCCTTCTCAGAAGGGTGACTTCAAACTTTGTCTCATGAACAAGTGACAAAACGTGTTTAAGTGTATATTAAATGTTTTAAAGTCTCTAGCTGTATTTAATAGTATGTATGTTTTTCTTTAATATAATATACATATAGAATGTGATCGTATAGTGGAATATCTTTAACCTGTCATTTTAGATGTCATATCATTTACTTCTGCTAGTGTGCCTTATCTTATGCCATCTTTACTAAACAGTCCTACTTATGAGATACATTTCATAATATGTTGCATAATATTACACTGACAAAATGGAATCTGAAAAAGTGATTCAACAGGGATCATCAGTTCTCCCCACACAATATTGATCTCTACAATGTAAAGCTCTAATAGATCACCATATAATCCAGCTAAAAGAAAAGTAACGCCAAACCTTTTTTTGGCTTAACTTCCCCTTTGGGTCACAAGAGTACATTTACATTTCCTGATGTACTCCAATAACCCAAAGTCAGCATATAGCGGGCTACTGCGAGGTGATTCATTAGTAAGGTTATGCTACTGCACTGACGAATCAACAGGATGCAGGCAAGTGGGTCAGGGATCTCAAGTCTCCCTGATGTTCAGGGAGTCTCCCTCTATTAGTCAGCGGCTCTCTGACGTCCGCGAGAGAGGCATTTTCTCCCTGAAAGGTTTACTCGGAGTAAACCTTTCCGGTAAGACATCAGTGGGTAAAGTTTCAGAGTGAGGCTTGCCTCCTGGAGGAAGGTCATGTGATCTCTAGAGTAGCCTCAGAACGAGGCTTTGCTCTCAGAAGGAAGAAGCTACTTGCTGCACAGAGAGGGCGGACATAGACTACTATTGAGAGCAGGTACAGGCACTGAGATCTACTTTACTCCTCAGCATTTTTTTAAAAAGGTCTTGGGCTGTCTAATAAATTGTGACCTTTACACTGACAGATACTTGAACATCAATTCAAAAATCTGATGTATATATAAATAAATATATATATATATATATATTATTATTATTATTATTATTATCATTATTATTTCTTTTATATTCTGATGACGGCCGCTGTAAAAAAAAACAAAAAAACAGAAAGGGCACCTCCCTGAAATGAGACGGGCACCTCCCTGAAATAAGGTTTTGCAGGTTGGGATGTCTGAGTGGGTCAAAAAGCTGTATTGCTTTACTGCAATGAGGAAAGGTGAAGGCATTGACTTGACCTGCTGTCTGGCAGGAATGTCTGGATCATAATACTGTCTGTAAAGAATTGGAATACTTTTGGTAGGTAAGATAGTTCACACATAAGTATTTCAATTGTTTACATAGCTGTTTGCCTGGAGTTTAGCTTCAAGGTTACCCCCACGTGCATTTGCAGGTGCAGTGTGGCATGTTTTCAGCAAGATTAAGGGCCTGTTCACATTTGGGCCAAACACCGCCAAGAATCAGCGTCTCTCTGTGGTGGGGATGCAAAGGTGTGTGCGACCAGCTGCCACCAGCAGCCTTTACAAATCAATGACAAGCTTATGGGCACCCCAGTTGTTCACATGCAACAGGATATCCGAGTGGTTACACGCAATTAGGGACAGATGAGCAGCCCTGGGTACAAACTGTCTGCATCCAGGGCCACTCATCTGGCTCTAATAGCTTGTAAGTGCTCAGATGTGCGGTTACATACGAACAGTTACTGAGTGCACACTCCTGTGCCTACCCACCTCCGAGAAATGAAGTTTCTTGGAGGCATTGACCATGTATATAAGCCCTTACATGTGTTTTGCATGCCTCACCTCTCATGTCTGTGCAATGTGTGTTTTGCTGGAATCTGCACCAAATTAGAAGCAACTGCCAACATTTGAGAAATATACTATAATTATAACAACTTTTTTCATCTTCCTGTTTCCCCTACAGGACTTTGTGGTTGGCTTGTCCATTCTATTACGAGGAACTGTCCATGAAAAATTAAGATGGGCTTTTAATCTCTATGATATAAATAAGGACGGATATATCACCAAGGAGGTATGTCAGCTTGTTTTGCAATGTATTTCATAACACAACAAAACTGTGTCTGTGAAGGTTCTCATTCATCCAGGTCATGGTATATCTGTAAAATATAAATCAAGACAACTGGATTTGCTGCATTTTTCTTGAGGACGTTGCACTGGTCATCTGACTAGTTTTCTCTTCTCAGAATTGAGAAAGCTAGTCGGCTGACCAGCGAAAGATCTTCAAAAAACATACAGCAGGTCCAGTTGCCTTGATTTTTTTTTTACATATATGAACAAAACTGTCGTTTCTTTTAGATATTTTACTATTAGGAACAAAATATGAACAACACGATGCTCTGGTTGTATCTAACGTGTCTCATACTATACAGTTCCTCCCACCCACAGTAAGGAGGAGGGGATGCACGTCAGTTCCTACATGATGGGGGGGGAGTGTAGAGTAGAGTAAAGGAAAGTAATTCGCACTCCCACTCGGTTCCGAAACGTCACCATTTTGATGTGACACTGCAGAGGTCAATAAATATTGACTATCAATTAAGCTGGAGTGCGAGTGACTTTCCTTTACTCTACATTACTCTGCAGAGGCATCTGCTGTTACTCAGGCACCCACCTGATACTTATGGGTACTATCCGGTCAGGAGTGCAATGGGTCCCATATTAATTTTTTCCTACATGATGGAACGCAAATCTATCTCTTATCTAAATGGATAGCAACATTCTCTATTTATTCTATTAATTCTAAAGTGAAATTTAAAGTCAAAGAGATCTTATGCTATTTCATTTGCTGATGAAAGCACAATGGATGTTGCTACTTGATGTTTGAAAGTTTCAGTTTCCTGCAGAATCAGCTGGTCACCTGAGAACTGGCCCTGACTTCCTGTTTTAGAGTGACCCCTTTCTCAAGCAGAGTGCTGTGCAGTCACCCTTGTGTGTGATAGTAAGCTGTGTGTGTCTCCACAAACACACAGACTGAGCAAATCAAGCTACCCCCCCTGCCCTCTCTCCTCCCTCCTCACTTCTCCAAGCTAATAGATGAACAGTTGCTGGAGTCTGCTCTTTCCTTTGTGATCCTGTACTGGACAGGAAAAGCAGGGAAGCTGAGCTGAGGGACTTGGAACCAGCTGTTCACAAACATGATGATTGTAAATGTTTGGGCAAAATGTAAATCAGTACTCTGCTGGGCAATAGTTTAGTATGTGTTCTGGGGCTTGGGAGGGAGGGGGGAAGTCTATTATGTGTTCTGGGGGCTTGGTAAGGAGGGGGGAAGTTTAATATGTGTTCTGGGGGCTTGGGAGGGAGGGGTGGAGTTTAATATGTGTTCTGAGGGCTTGGTTTATTATGTGTGTGTGGGGGGGAGGGAGTGTATTATTATGTGTGAGGGTGGATTGGTAGTGGGGGTGTATGATTATGTGTGCGGGGGGAGTGTATGTGTATGTTATTATGTGGGGATTGGAATGGGGGGTCCCCTATATTTCAGGTGCAATTAGGGATTCCTGTGTCACAAACTTGCATTTTCATGCACAGGAATCCCTAATCTGGCGTTTACTTGCAGCAACTGTCACCCATTCAAGTTAATGATCAGGTACCCACTTGACCTCAACATTTATTGCATATCTTTTATGAGGCATTCAGGACCATGAGTGAACTGTCATACCTCCTTCATGTGAGCAGCAATGTAGGTTTATACACCTGCATGGTCTCTGGTATGTGCAGGGTGTCAGGTGGGCTCTGCAGGATTTCAGCTGGGCACTGTCGGGTCTCAGGTGGGCTTTGCAGGGTATCAGGTGGGCTCTGTAGGGTTTATGATGGGCTCTGGAGGATGTCAGATGGGCTCTGCAGGGTCTCTGGAGGGCTATGTGGGGTCTATGGTGGGCTCTGCAGCAGTGAGCAGCAGAGTGATCTGTTCTTCGGCTCTGACGTCAGAGCCAGCAGGAGCAGAGCTGAAGAGAAGGAGATGGCGCAGGCACAGGAACGTGTTCTGGGGGTAGGGAGACAGCGCAGGCACGGGAACGTGTTCTGAAGGTAGGTACTTTTCTTAGGTGGGGGGACTGCATACAAAATTTTGCTATGGGAACCTGTGATTTCTATTTACGCCCCTGCATGAGACTATGTTTCTTTTGAACCTGCACAGAAATAATTATGCATAACTAATATATAAAAATCTAAAACTGTATCAAATCTACTAACTATAATTCAATGAACATGTTCCAGAATTGAAAATAACCCTTAACAATTGAAACGCTTCCTTAAAATCTGATATTCTATGCCTTTCCTACAATTAGGAGATGCTGGCCATAATGAAGTCCATCTATGACATGATGGGGAGGTACACTTACCCCATGTTAAGAGATGATGCACCGATAGAGCATGTGGAAAGATTTTTCCAGGTAAATTTTACATTAAAATGCCAGATATTCATTGTTTTGCTTTAGACATTTATATAATAATTAGCTGTGTATGTAGTTAAAGCCGTCACTGACTGGGACATGTCAGGGCACATAAACCATTTCTGTGGGACATTTTATGCCCATTCCATATTCTAACTCACTGGTTTGCAGAGTCCATCCTGCTTGAATTATTATTATTATTATTATTATTTTATATAGAGCCAACATTTGCTGATCTTTACCGCAGATTGTACACCAGACATACATTGTTACAACACAATACATCGATACAGACTAGAATTATGAGAATTCTGCCTGCCAGGCCTTTTAACTCTAACAGGAAAATTATGTTATACAAAATATATCTAAAAAAACCTTCATATATAAAGTCTTTAGGAGAAAGTCCATCCATGTATAACCTTTTGATAATGGAGACTGTTATGTTCTTCTACTGTCTATGGCCTTATTGAAAATTACACAAAGCCCCTTTCTCTAATCCATACATCATGTTTAACTGTCTCTAATTGTGACCTTTTTTTTTTACAGAAAATGGACCGAAACCATGATGGAGTTGTGACCATTGATGAATTTCTGGAGACTTGCCAAAAGGTTATTTTTTTGGCCTTGTTTGTCCATGTTATTTTGCTTCTCTGGGGCACTGAAAATTATACTGGTAAACATACACATTTCACAGTCAGTTACCAAAAAAAGCAATACCCTATAGCAACAAATCAGAGTTCAACTTTCAATGTTCTGGCAGTAGTGAACTCAAAGCTTTCTGGTTGCTTTGGGTTGCATTAGTGAACTCAGATCTCACTGGCCGCCATAAGTTATTGCACTTTGTAGCATTGCTGGATTTACCAATAAAGTGACACTAAACTCAGGAGTTAAATCTTAAAAATACATTCAAGTGTGTTATCTATTAACAAAAATGTGTGTTATTTGTGTATCACTCGGCTGTAGATCCTCAAATCACCTATGAATCTCTGTCCTTCCTTCTGGAGGATGTCCACTTTTTTTCCCATGGTCCCTGTGTGTGTTGTAAAGTAGCCACCACTCCAAGCTTGCTCCTGTGATAGACTACGTCACATTTAGTTTACTAATTTGTACTGAGATTGTAGTCTATCAAAGGAGCGAGCTTGGAGCAGTGACTACTTTATAACACACACAGGGACCATGGGGAACAAAAGTAGCCCCCCTCCAGAAGGAAGGATAGTGTCAGCACCAATTCAGAGATGATTTGAAGATTTACAGCTGACTGATACATGAATAAGTTACATATTTGTTAATAGTTAAGGCACGTGAATGCATTTTTAGGTTGTAACGCCTGAGTTTAGTGTCACTTTATGACCAGTAAACTTGTTTCCTTGTATTATATCCGTGCATCATTTTAAGACCTTCACAAAAAGTACTGACATTACACCTTGAAGCTCTGCCTTTTTTGTCCTTTGACCTTGACATGAGGAATAGCTGATCAACATAGTGTGCGCCAGTCCTTATCAGGACCCAAACACTGGTGTTTCTTACCATATTGAGGAAGTGAAACCATTTTAAATAAAGGCCTTTGTGTTAGAAACATTTTACGAATTGTAACTTCAGTTAAAGAATCTGGCAATCAAGTGTTCTCTTCTTTCTTCAGGATGAAAACATCATGAAGTCCATGCAACTGTTTGAAAATGTGATCTAAGAGGGGATATGACACTCCACCCATGCCAGCACTAGAAATGACCCATCCAATGGTGTATGCCCACGCTTGGATCACAGACACCCCTCTTCCTTGTGTCACGAACAGTCAATGGATGGAGTAATCTCTCTCCCAGGGAACATATGATCCTTCTTACTGCCTGCCTGTTTGCACTGATCCCTTCCTTCTCCTCACAGTAACAAACTCACCTTTTTAGGGACTGTTTTATATTATTAGAGGATAAAAAAAAGCACATTTATCTCTGCAAGAGCTGGGATTCTTAAATCAGGGATTTTTACAGGAAGCCGCTCTTGCCTGAACCCAATGAGGAGACATGACACACATCCCATATTAACTGAAAACATACACATTGATTATTTTGTTAGACAAAACACAAATTCTACACAGCGATCTACGTTCTGGGCTTCCTGAAGACCTGCCAAATCCCCCATCCTAACCCTACATGTAAAAACTGCAGAAGGACCCTGGTGTGCTCTTCCCCGGCCGGAGGATGGGGGGCAACTTCGTACCAACTACTCTGGCACTGGAAGGGTTAAGACAAGGTTATAATTTCTATTTTGTTGGAGCATTTTTTTGTTAAAGAATTTTCAACAAATGTAATGAGCCAATCCAGCCAGTTTTGTTTTATGCATGTCTTCAACAAGACCCCATCCAAGCAATATGTCACTTTGCTGTTCTGTCAGACCTGTTTGCTGCTGTTGGTACTTATTTTTTGCTATAATTTTTGCCCCATATGGTAAAAATAAAATGTATGGTTCACAATAGAGTGGATCAAACCTCAACTCTGTGAAGTTGTGCCTGAGGAGACAGCATCATTTATCACCATTCAAAAAGGTTACATGGGTTGGTGTGGCCTAATTATTTATTGTATTTGAAGTGTACATGTCAGCCATTTTAAAATCTTCTTCTTTGTGCCCCTCTGAAACTGCTTTTACTATGCCCACCAAAAGTCCTGCCCCTTTCCAACCAGAGTGCTTCATTGAGGATACCGTCATTGGCCTATTCTTTTGCCTTTTGCTCCAGGACTTTCTTGACAGGGTAAGGCACAGCCGTCCTATGACCCAACCACCCACTGCTGACTACAACCCTTAACCCCTCCATGACCCATGCCCACCTTAAATAATGGACCACACCAGGTTGGATATAAAATGGCTGTAGCAGCCGTTTATTATAAAATATCTTTAAATATATAATTTCCGTTCAAACATTAATTATCACCATAAACAACAATTTCTCTGTAACCTATTCTTTGGCGTGAGGTCTGCGCAGGCACCACTTACTCAACCACCGAAGATCTCTGCTTACCCCCTTAAACCACTGGCCCCTAGCCGCAACCCACCGACTCAGGGACAACATTGGGAAGTAACAGCAGAGACCTCCTACACCTATTTCTGACCTCTCTCTCTGCTGAACCCGCCAGAGAACAAACGGGGCCGCGCACCACGGACGCAGCCCACAGCCACCGTAGCCCGCCATGCGCAGACCTAACCAACGCCACCGAGATCCAGCCTCTGAAAGACAAGCAAGTGAATTAAAACAAGCAGTAAACAAACAAACAAAAAAAAACAAACGTTAGGGAGGGAGGGCGGGAAGTGAACTGACCTTGTGCTGACTCCCAACTGCCTGGATCACCCCTCCTCCTGCTCTAACCACCCTGGATGCTCCTCCTGGACCACTTGACCCAGCCAATCACGGTAAGTGACACCCAAGCACCTTCCTTAGGCTAACTTAACCCTTTCTCTACCTGACTGCCTGCCCACCCTGTCATGCCGTCCTTTCGCCTATTCTTTTGCCTTTTGCTCCAGGACTTTCTTTCAATCATCTGCCTGCATTCAGCTCACACACTACACGCAAAGCTCCGTGCCAGACAGCTTTGCTTCGCTCAGCACAGCTTTGCGTGCAGTGTTGCATGGGCTTTAAGTTTTTTGCCTGGAGTTACGAGTCTTTCCTGGAGTCTATTAAACCTCATTTATGAAAAACATTACACTAGCATCATAAATCTGGTGCAAATATATTCCGTGCAAGTACAAACACTCGCAATTGCCATGATAAATTCCCCCCTGTATGTTTGTGAGTACATCTGTGTAATCACTGTGAGCACCACCATTCTTCAAAGGTCAATGACGCTGTATGAAGTGCCGGTGATCCACAATATCAACATATCTATCATGAGAGAGGCACCCCAGAGAGGATTTTCTGGCTACCTAAGAAACATGATAGCAGGCATCTAGTAGAGGCACTCATGAGTCTAGAGCAGAAGCGTATGTCCAAACAAGAGGCGTTTACTCTGTCCAGCGTTTTGATGGATTAAAGTCCATCAAGATAAGAACAGTTTTTTGTTGCCCCACAACCACCAATCGGAACAAAACTTCATTGGAAAGTAGCAGTTGAAGAAGGAAAATCTGAATGTGACTGGTAGCTACGGGGAAACACAGAACACTTATGGAACTTACCAGTTATGTCAATGTGTCTAAACTAGCAATATATATAAGGTACATTACCTTCGATAACAATCTCTGCGCACTTGGATTGTGTGTACATAAAATACACAGATGGTCCAATTGTCCTCTTTGAGGAAAGGTGGATTTTTCTGGTTAAAATAACCTTCACGAAAAAAATGTGATAAAGATATAAGGATTGATTAATTTATGTGGAACTGAAATTAGAGTAGCTACACGACCTGGCCAAAAAAAGTCACACACTCTAATATTTCATTGGCCCGCCTTTAGCTTTGATCATGGCGTGGCATCGTTTCTATAAGCTTATGCAGGGTCACAAGAACTAGTGTCCCCATTGGAAGATTTTCTGTCTATTCCTGTTCTGATGACAACCCAAAATTTGGAATTTTCTTTCACTTTTAGTGAAAACAGTCACCAGGACAAATAGACAGGCTGAACCTTCCTAACGGGATAAAGAACAATAAAAACCTGACAGTTGTTCCAATCCCTCTCCAATCCCTCTCCAATCCCTCTCAAAAGTTTTGGCTTCAGTTGCTGACCATACAATATACAACCTGATTGTACAATCTCCTTTAAATCTGCCATAACTATATAATGCAAGGGCCTGCCTAATTTGATACTAATTGAACTGGGTCTACTGTGTGTGCGAGTTGGTCATGTCTATATTTCCAAACCAACATCCAGATAAAACAATAAGGGTGTGCTGTCTCTTTGCTATAAATGATACCCGAGGCTGCTTACTAATAACTGGAGACATCATAAAGCTGCTTCTCTATGCCTGACACCAATCAGGTATACCTGAGTGAAACAATATTGCTGCTTGCTATAGAAAATAGCTCCACTTTTGTTCCAGTTTTTATAATTCAGCTCCATTTCCTCGTTGAGGTTACTTATATACTCTTGAACAAATGCCCTGTTTCTGAGATAGATTTCTAAAATCATTTCTCTTATAGAATATATGTTTGTTCAAAGCAAAAGCAACAGAGACTATAGTGATGAAGGAGAAGACAGATACTTTTGTGGGGGGAAAAAATCCCCCCCTGGGTGATCAAGGTACATTGCAAGGATTTGAACAAAATTTGTTGCAGATTCCGACCTTGTCCTTTTCCAGACTAATTCCTGAATGGGAGGGTCTATCTTCATTACAACCACCTTGGGCACTTTCAGTGTTCTAATGAGGAACGTTGCACTGTCTGCATCCTTTTATAAGTAATGAACCCTTAAAGAGGAACTTTACCCAAATCTTTAAAATAACAACAAACACACCTTTAGAAATGTTTAGTGGTGACAATCTACAAACACATACTTCTAGATCATTGCCGGCTTTGTATTCCTTTTTTTTTTTTCCTCCCCTGTCTTCTGACAGTGGACAGTGGAGATAAATATATCTCCCTTTACTTCCTGGAACTCTGGCACATATGAATAGGATGTGTGACCATGCACATCATCACAGGGTAGGAAAATGCCTCTCCCTAAGATGTCCTGAGATTAGAGATGAGATTTCCCAGCAATGCCCTGCTGATGAAACCTTCCCAGGATGCAACGCTTGGGCACAATTACATAATTTGTGCCAGAAGTGGACCAGGAAGTGGACAAATTTTATTTGTAAGTAAATGAATAACATGTTTAACTAATGAATGTAAGATGATTTCATATCAGCATGCAGAGCTGTATGCTGATGTGATTATAGTGAAAGGGGTAAGGTCCCCTTTAAGCTGGCCCTACACAGCCTATATTTTCGAAAGAACTTTCACACGAAAGCACTTTCTTTCAACTTTCTATTAGTTTATGGGGTCAAATCGACAATCGATAACCGTAGTGACGAAGAAACTCGAGGGAGCAGGATGGAAAATATTTCCAGTGAATGTGGTTTTTGTTTTGGAAAACTCCATTCATTAAAAAATTGAACGTTAGAATCAAACAACATTTTGATCAACAAATGTCAAGTGTCTGATGGCATTACCGGGTGGTAAAGAAAGATCTTTTGTACGACTGTTCATTCGGAAATCTACAAGTGTATAGCCAGCTTAAGGGTGTATCTCACCAAAAATGGCATTTCTATTGCAAGTGATGTCTAAAATTTTACTTCTATTTTAGTGCAGACCGTGAAAATCAGTGAGCCCATCAAAGAAGCAGAAAATTATATTACTGGGGGTGTTCCCTAAACCAACTGTGTACAGCATGCCTCGTTTACTAGGTTTCATTGAATTATTTTAACACTTTTAGAAAATTGTAGCAGCTTCAGATTAAAATGAAAAGGTAATTTTTAATAATGTTTCATTACATAATGGCTTATATGCTATATGAGTTTTTTTTTAAAGAAAGTGGAGTTTTCCTTTAAGGTGCATTCACACCAAAATCAGAATTAAATCGGAGGGTCCGTTGACTTGGAATTGTACCTTCCGATTTTCTTCTGTTCCGTGGCGTTGCTATACATTTTTCAACGGGTTCTGACGTTAGGGCACCAAAAAATGAATGGGTATGAATGAAGCTAGTTCACACTGGATCCGTTGCATTACGTTGCGCTTAATAAAAAGTAGTGCATGTTCTAGTTTTTCTCAGTGCAACTTAAGGGAACGATGAACTAGCCCCATGCACACCCATTTCTTTTTTGGTGCCCTTCCGTTAACATCCGTTGAAAAACGGAGCGCAACACAACAGATCCAGTATGAATTGGCCGTTAAAGCACAATTGAACATGAATACATTCCAGGTGCATCAATTGGGGCCCATAATACTAAGATTGGCGATTGTTGAGCAATGCAGATTGT